AACATAAAAGACGCTCTGGATTGTTGGTGGAACAGTCGAGAGCTGTGTGAGAAGTTTTCTGCTGCACACATCTGAAGCACACATGTGAAACCCCTAGCAGTGCATTACAATAGTCCAGTCTAGAGGTCATGAATGCATGCTTTTCTGCATAAGAAACAGGTAACATGTTTTGTAGCTTGGCAATGTTTCTAAGATTGAAGTATGCTGTTTTTGTAACATGGGAAATATGATTTTCAAAAGACAAGTTGCTGTCTAATATAACACCCAGATTTTTGACTGTAGAGGAAGTAACAGTGCATCCGTCTAGTTGCAAATTGTAATTCAAGAGATTCTGTGTACTGTTTTTCAGTCCAATAAGTAATATATCTGTCTTATCCGAATTTAATAGGAAATTATTGGTCATCCAATCTTTTACATTTTTAACACACTCTGTTAGCTTAGATAATTTAGAAGTTTCATCTGGTCTTGTTGAGATATATAGTTGAGTATCATCAGCATAACAGTGGAAACTAATCCCGTATTTTCTAATAATATTACCAAGGGGCAACATGTATATTGAAAATAGCAGAGGACCTAAGACAGATCCTTGTGGCACTCCATACTTTACTGGTGATAATTGAGATGACTCTCCGTGGTAGCGATCGGACAGGTAGGATCTAAACCATCTTAAAGCCTGCCCTTGAATACCTGTATAAATTTGTAATCGATCTATGAGTACGTTATTATCTATGGTGCACTAAGGTCAAGTAAAACTAGCAATGAGATGCAGCCTTGGTCTGAAGCAAGAAGCAAGTCATTTGTAATTTTAACAAGTGCAGTTTCTGTGCTATGGTGGGGCCTGAAACCTGACTGAAATTCTTCATAGAGATCTTTTTTTGCAGGAAGGAGCACGGTTGAGCAGACACAAATTTTTCCAAAAATTTTAGACATAAAAGGAAGATTTGAAATGGGTCTGTAATTAGCCAGTTCACTAGGATCTAGTTGTGGTTTCTTAATAAGAGGCTTAATGACCGCCAGCTTGAATGGTTTTGGGATGTGACCTAAAGATAACGACGAGTTAATAATATTGAGAAGCGGTTCTTCTGCTACAGGTAACAACTCTTTCAGTAATTTAGTGGGTACAGGATCTAATAAACATGTTGTTGGTTTACATGCAGTGAGAAGTTTATTTAGCTCTTCCTGTCCTATAGTTGTAAAGCACTGCAGTTTTTCTTTGGGTGCGATGAATGAAGCTGAAGTATTAGATGCTGTAGAATCTACATTTGTTATTGTATTTCTGATGTTATCTATTTTATCAGTGAAGAAATTCATAAAGTCATTACTATTAAACTGTGAGGGAATATTTAGATTGGGTGGCGTCTGGTTATTTGTTAATCTAGCCACTGTGCTAAATAAAAACCTTGGATTGTTTTGGTTATTTTCTATGAGTTTGTGGCTATGCTCGGCCCGGGCAGCTTTTAGAGCCTGTCTAAAACGTTCCTCATCCGCAATTTCTACAGTAAATGAAGAACCATTCAACTGAAGTGCAAAATCCATATATTGAGCCAGGGTCCAGTGAGGGGTATGGCGAGGCGTGAGGTAATTAAGAAAATCATTAAGTCCATGTTGAAAAATGTCCTTTAAAGCCACATCATTAAAGTCCACGACATGACATAACTTGCGATTCCCCTGGCGCAAACTAAAGAGAGCAACTGCTGGGTTCATTGTAACCGGTCTAGCTTTCTGTAATGAATCCACTGAGGCAAGTTGAAGTAGAACCCATGTGCAGTTTTAATGAAGTCCAAAAACAAATGCAAGATGAACGGAGACTAGACTTGTCATGGACAAACTCACCTAACAGTGCTTACACAAACAAAGCTAGACAAGACACAATGGCAACATGAGAACTATATATGTGAAACAAAGAGGTGTTACATGACATAATCCAACCAATGAACACATGACACATACAACAAAGGAACCAATGGGAACAAGACACATGAACAAAATCTGCACTCAAAGGTAGACACATCCGCCATTAAAGCAAGTAACAGTGAGTAAAACAATGGTAATGTGTGTGTGTGTGTGTGTGTGTGTTACACATCCTCAACAAACATAAAAGAGATTACCTTAGATAAAGTTTGATTAATATGTATGTACAGTTACTGGTCAAAAGATTGGACACAAACGTTTTAAAATAAATTAATACTTTTATTCATAGTATGTGTTAAATTGGTAAGTAATAATAAGTGATATAAGTAAAGACTTATATTGTATGTTATAAAAGATTTATATTTTGAATAAATGCTGTTCCTTTTTTCTTTTTTAATCATTCTGTATGTTTTTCAACACAGAAAATATGTAGAAAATAACAGAACAATGTAGGCCTATTTACAACATTTCTGTCCATAAAGCTAAATAAACCATAACACTGCAACATCAATTTAAAAAAAAGGAAGAGAGAACAACTAATATAAACAATGCTTTTCTGCAATCTTTGCACATATAGGGCCTATTTTAGAAAAGATAAAATGATTGACTTTATGTGCTCATGTCAAGAGTTGAAATATTGCTATTTCACAGACAGGGTTACTAAGTGACTTTATAATTCATATGATATTTAAGACTTTGTGCCTATACTTTTGAAAATTCTAAACCTAAACCTTGCATCATGGGATTTTTGTTTTGTTTTGCAAGCTGAGGAACAAAATAATTTTCTGCAGCATAACGGAGAGATTGTCGCAGAAGGTGTCCATGAAGCTTCACTTGTTTTGAACCTGGAACATTGCTTTAACACAAAACATTTGGTTTTCATAACACATGGCCTAGCTACATCCAGTCTAATGGAAATCTGTCCTGTATATTAATAACTGTAACATATGTTAGGATATTTTTAGAGAGTCTAGTGGACACATTGAATATGTAAAAAACCTGACATTAATGGAAACATTTTAATTGAAGCAGGTAATGCTTCAAAATACATGATGTCAGCTAATGAGGTCCATATGTGGTGTACACTGAACAGAACACTGACCTGCTGACAGTCGCTGAAACCTCTAACTGAACACTGCAATATGTATGAGTCCTGTTTTCTGTATATGCACTCTCTCAAAATTTAAGATATTCTTCATGCAGTTATTTGGAGTCTTTTGCTGCTTTTCATTTTTGTCTTATTTGATTAGATGTCTATAACCAGGCATTGATGTCAAATCTTTACTAATAGTCTGTAGAGTTTCAGTGCTGATACAGTACAACAGTTTTGAGTCATGTAACGTTTCAACGTATTAGTTATATTGCGTTACTGTCATATGTGATTGTGTCAGTCAGAAGCAAAACAGTGTGTAGATAAATTATGGGAAATTTTATTTTCAGCCTTATGAGAGTGAAGCTTCGTTTTTATTTTACGGCCATGTACATTGCCTTTGGTATAAAATATGAACTTTTTTAACAGAGCTTGTACAAAAACAAGACTTGTACAAAAACAAAAATATATCATTATAATTCAAATTAAAGTAATACTTCTAAATATAAAAATACATAGAAACAACAATTCACCTTTATCAAGAGAAACATATTCACACATCATATACAAACATCTAGATTACATTTTGAAGGTCTGTTCCTAGCCCTTGCTTTCAAAAATTGCTTCAAGAAAACCAAGTTGTCAAAAGCTGATGACATTTTCAGCTGTGATTTCGAAGTACAGTATGGCAGAATTATACAGATTGATGATAGTTAACATTGTTCTTTGGAGAAGTTGAGAAACTGCGTCATAGTCTACAGATTGTAATTAGTCTTTAGTGTTATTGTTCTTGTATTTCATTTAGCCCTCTATGTTATAATGTAATACATTAGATTTATATTTACTATATATTTTACAGCCATAGCAAGAACTAGACTTTGCAGCCTAATATTACAAACATGAAATGGCATTATGCATTTCTTAAGTAAATGTCTATAATGTGGCTTATGAAATGGAATGTCCACTAAAAAACAAGGTAGAGTGGGGCTTCATTTATCCATCAGGGCTTGACTGGGTCATGAAAAGCATTTTAATTAAATAACATAATTTTCCCATCCACACGGGCTTGCACTAGAAAAGTCATTGTTTCACCATTACAGAGGTGAAGAAAGTGAAAAGACATTTTGATGAAAGATTATGAAAACAAGCCGTTTTCCTGAGAACATGCTCGGATGAATCTTGCACAATAAGACCACGGACATTTAATCAGAAAGCAAACAGTCCATTTAGATTTAAAGGGGTCATATGATGCTGCTAAAAAGAACATTATTTTGTGTTATTTGGTGTAATAAAATGTGTTTATGCGGTTTAAGGTTCAAAAAACATTATTTCCACATACTGTACATTATTGTGTCTCCTCTATGCCCCGCCTTTCTGAAACGCGTCGATTTTTACAAAGCTCATCGGTCTGAAAAAGCGAGGTGTGCTCTGATTGGCCAGCTATCCAGTGTATTGTGATTGGCCGAATTCCTCAAGCGTGTGACGGAAATGTTACGTTCCTTACCATATTGTGATGCCTGCGGCAACCACATGTGACGACCCCGGGCTGGACTCCGCTTTGTCCACAGTGAAAGCCGATCTGGCGATCCACAGCGCAAAGTTTATGTATTTCCTCAGCGTTCTCAGTGACGAAGGGATATCGTCCTCTTTTGGAAGGCCAAACAAAGTAGTTTCGCTTTCACAACGAAACACACAGCGCCTTCACGACATGGCAGCAGCAACAACAATACTACAACGAGAATGAAAGTTACGCCTTCTTTCTTTGTGTGAACATTTGGGCGGCGTTATGCAAATCTTCCCACATAGTGATGTAGACATGTGGGGGCGTGTTAGAACGAGCCGTTTTAGGTAGGCGTGGCTGACTCTTAACTTTTATAAAGAATATCTCTTTGGATTTGAGACTTTAGTCTTTGCAACTTTACAGATCTTCTTTATGCACCAAGAGCTTGTAACACTCCAAAGAGAAAGGAAAAATTGAAATTGCATCATATGGCCCCTTTAATGTTGTGTTTAAGGGGAGCGAAGTCTAAAGGTATTTGGTTTGGATTCAGATGTTCTAAGCGGAGAAGCTGGAGGTCTTGTAGGGTAGCAGGTTGTAGAGGGGGGCAAAGGGAGGAGGGTTGGGCTGTACATGGGATGTATCTGATGACGATCCTGGAGATACACTCAATCCTGTGGCTGCAGGTGCTGCTGGAGAAACATAAAGCGATGCCCTCTGAAAGAAGGATGAAGAAAAGAATGCGTGTTAAAATTGTGTTAGCTTTTAATTGCAAAAATTGCAGATTTTTTTGTCAGCTCTTTTTCCAACCCAGTTTGGAAGTGGTGATTTTAGCCAGCTCTTGCCATCTTTGTTTGCTATAACTGAGGAACACTAAAGCAGCTGTTCTAAAAAGGTTTGCACTCTGAAGAGAGTCAAAGGTGTCTATTTGCAGTGTTATTGCATTTAAAAGTGATTAAATGCGACAGTGATAATCATAGCAACAGATTGGACAGAAAACCTAATATGTCAAAATAGATCTGTGCATTAAGTCTTGCAGTGTACCTGCAAATGCAAACATGTAATGCAAGATCTGCCACAGCAATATTGAAACCGAAAACAGATCAGAGTTGGCTGAATTATTAAAAACACTCTTTGTTCACTCTGTGTGTTTGCAAATTTTTTCTGACTTTTATTCTGACACTTGTAATTATTACTTGCAATTAGCAGTAATAATTAACTTATTTTATTTAATATTTTATTTCAAATAATTATAGAAAATAGTTTGTTAAAGGGGTCAAAAAATCGACGCGTTTCAGAAAGGCAGGGCATAGAGGAGAAATAATAAGTATGTGGAAAATAATGTGTTTTTTGAACCTTGACCCCTTTAAAGCAGCACTATGTAACTTTTGGCGCTCTAGCGGTTAATAAACAGAACTGCACACATCCCACGGAAGAAAATTCCAACTGGAGCTACTTCTCTAAGTTTATGTCTATGGCGATTCACGCAGGTATGTGTTACTCCGCAGCGGTGACGACCCGACCAGGCTACAATAGTCCAAGTCTAAGTAATCGTGATGTACTTGCTCATTATATACATTTAGCAAATTTTGAACACAGAAAAAGTTACACAGTGCTGCTTTAAAGGGTAGCCTATGTTGCAACAGTTTTTGCGTTGTTATAGAAATTGGTACAGTGAATTAAAACAAATAAAGCCATCCTCTCAGATAACACCATCAGTCAAACATGGTGATGCCAGTGTTATATTCTGAGTTTCTATTTGTAGGAGGGACTAGAAAGCTTGTTTGTATCAAGGACAACATGGGCAAAGACAAATACACAAACATCATTGAGCAGAATCTGCTAAACATCTGCATACAAGTCAAGATTTATACTTTCTTGCAAGAAAATTAATTTCCCATCCTTCAACACAGGAGGATTATTGGAAACAAAACACAAATCTTTGCAGCTGTTTTCTGGTTTAATCAATAAACAAAAGCAGAAACAAAAGAATGTCACCACATCTTCCCAAGAGATCACACATACTTTCTCTTTCTTACTTAAATGAGAATGTTACATTCAGCTAAACACATGCCAGATATCTATTGGTGAGCCTTCAAACCAATGTGATTAATGCTGCCTTCACGTGCAATCGGAAATTTCCTATTTCCCACTTATGAAGTCGTGATTACGAGCTTGTCGTATTCAAGTACTTTAATGTCGGAAAGAATAAAATCTAGCATCCCATTGGTTGACTATCATAAACATTCACCGCGCTATACATGCAGTTTGCAGACAATTCTGGAATTTCGGTCAAATACATGCTTATTTTACTGCTTATAAAACATACAATATGCTTCAAATGATCGTTCATATCTAGCCTATAAATACAC